GCGATGATGAAAATCATGCTATGGAACAGGTTCTCGACAACCTTATCTGATCCCAATCACCATCCGAATACCATAACGATGTCAAACTATGTGGAACTCAATGTGAGACTACAACAACAGATTGTTGGACTGTTGTTGAAGCGCGATGTTATCCAACTTGAAGACTACTTCGAAATCCTCTGGATAGACTACTGTCCTGATTGCGATCACGCTTGGGTTGATATACAGCGCGAATCTGGTATTCGTGACTACTGTGATTTACCTTTCTTTAAGTCTAAATGTTTTCTTAGGATTTCTTCTAGCCCCTGGTGTGACACTCATGATGAAGAGTTTTTAGCGGAAACTGAAGTCCTTAGTTTCTCAGACTCCGCTTTTGATGATTATTAGGTTTTGTTTATTTAAACAGTTGTTTTGTTTTGGGGAACGTAACTGGTACGGGTACTCGGTTATTGGTTTTGTTTTATGTTTTGTTTTAAGTACCGCTTTGATACTTGGTTTTGTTTTATGTTTTATTTTAAGTATCGCTTTGATACTTGGTTTGTTTTAAGTATCGTTTGATACTTGGTTTTGTTTTATGTTTTGTTTTAAGTATCGCTTTGATACTTGGTTTGTTTTAAGTATCGTTTGATACTTGGTTTTGTTTTATGTTTTGTTTTAAGTATCACTTTGATACTTGGTTTGTTTTAAGTATCGTTTGATACTTGGTTTTGTTTTATGTTTTGTTTTAAGTATCGCTTTGATACTTGGTTTGTTTTAAGTATCGTTTAATACTTGGTTATTTGTTTTATGTTTTGTTTTAAGTATCGCTTTGATACTTAAGGAGTTTTACCAAAGTGTATCGATTGATACCTTTAATTAGTTTTGTTCATGCTAGACTTGAACAGATTTGTATTTTTAAAGACCGCCTGTTTCTACAATAGAAAAGACAGACTTCGACAGACAGTATTTCAATATACTTGGTTGAACGGTTACTTCTTTGTTCCTCAGTACACCCTCGAAGCCTCCTTTAGTTCTCAGCTCTCGCCTCCTCTCCGGAAGAGCAGGCCACCTGCCAACTATCGTATCCTGTACCGATAACGTGATTAGCACCTTGCGAACACGTTACACTAATAAAGACTTTTCAAAATACAGGGCCAAGAAACAATTGGCTATTAATCCGGATTGGTGGAGTAGACTGTTACGGTGATCTGCATGGTAGGTGTGTAGTATGGTTGTTAGGACTTTTCAAAATGAGAAACATCTGTATGAAGTGAGTGGTATTAGTCGGCTAGTGTTGGTTCAAGTGCTCGATCTGGTGCAGAGTAGGAGATTTCACAATACCAATAGACATATCCGAGTTTGTAAGCAGTCAGCTAGTTGGAATATGCAGATTGTCAATAAAGAAGCACTGAGCAGGTAGGTATATCTGGTTCCTGTTGGGAAGAGGCAATAGATAGTGAATCACCTGATTGATTTGCAAAAGTTTAATGAGATATATTGAATTCTTGTATATACTTGTATACTAATAAAGATTATATAAGGATCATGATTATGCTACTACTGGATAAGTAAACTGAAAATTGAAAACTGGCAGTAGAGAGAATATGCAGTGCCTGAAGTAATACAAGTAGTACTAATATCAAGAGTACTGATTGGAGCTAGACAGAATTCGTTCTGTGAGTTGCCTTGAAAAAAAAAAATGAAATAAACCATCTGGCACCTATATGCCAATGCCTACCGTTATCTTTAAAGGATGTGGGTCTTTCTGCCACTGTCCCAGCACATTGGCCATAGTAAAGAGGACTGGGCCGGGCAGCACAAATAACTACATAGTACATGGAGGAGGATTGGAGTGGGTATATAGGTGCTAGATGACTGACAGATTCTAGGATTACACTGGCATACTGTGTGCAAAGGATCTATTATGGGATATTATCAGATGAATCTGGGCTGTATGGATAAGTTAGGCCAGTAAGGTCGCATTCAAGAGACAATAATCCAAGAACAATAAAGTGAAGGCCACCTGGTAAAATAAGAGTGTGGAGTAAAATAGTGGCAAGCATTGGTACAAATGGAGCCTGCAATATGCGAGTGAGAGGGTAGGGGCGAAGAGAGGTGAATGGGAATATGTTGGATGAGATGAATGAATCAAGTTAATATCCGTATGGTCAGGACGCACAGACCGAAGAGAATTGACAGGTTATATCCAGACACAGATGTTCTTCATTCGGGGAGAGGGTTTTTTTGCTGATATATAGTTCTTAGTTAGTAATATCATAATTACTAGAGAGTGTGGTACTCTCAGGGTCTTCCGATATTCGCATCTTTGAAGAATACCTAACGTTATAAGTTATAACTAGAGGAGTACATGGTTTGTATAGTAGATAGATGTAGTCCATGAATACTCAGAAGTGGAATATAAATATTGAAGTTGTAACGTGTTGGCAAGGTGCTAACCACATTATCGGCAATAGGTACGATAGTTAGCAGGTTGCCTGCTCTACCAGAGAGGAGGCCAGAGCTGAGAACTGAAGGCTACTTCAAAGATGTATTTGAGAAAGCAAAGGAGTAACAATTCAACCAAGTATATTGAAATACTGTCAGTTGAAGACTGCTTTTTCCATCATGGAATCAGGCAGTCTTTAAATACACAAATCTGTTTATGTCTATCATAAATGAAACTAATCAAAGATATCAAGCGATATACTTTAGTAAAACTACTTAAATATCAGAATGATACTTAAAACAAAACATAAAAAGAAACTAAGTATCAAAGCAATACTTAAAACAAAACATAAAACAAAACCAAGTATCAAACAATACTTAAAACAAACCAAGTATCAAAGTGATACTTAAAATAAAACATAAAACAAAATCAAGTATCAAATGATACTTAAAACAAACCAAGTAACTGAGTACCCGTACCAGTTACAGAAGTGTCTCTCAAGCTTTTAGACATCATCAAGCAATGGAAAAGTGACCTTAACAATATAATATTGTTATTACTATTCTATTCTACTTTATCTACTTCTCCTTACTCTTAGTAGTCATAAACAAAATGAGTATATATTTTGAGTCTTCCTAGACAATTTCCTTCTATAGAAAAGAATCTTAGTTGGCCTTGACAACTCTGAGTCTGTAACGATCCCTCTCTGGATAGTTAGTTCTTGGCGACAGGGAACGATACTTCTCTTTCTGTCTTCTTCTTTCTTTATCTTACGATAGCTCTAGGCCTCTGCCTACATTACCGATAGTACAAGACCTTTGTCTTCTATCGGGAACACCTATCGTAAGCTTTCTCTAACTCGTCTTAGTGAAGGACTTTTCTTTGCGTAACAATAACGGTGTAATAAAGATAAAGATCATAAAGATGTTTTATATTCGTTAAAGTAATAAGTAGGAAAAGTACTTAGAACAAAGCGTGAAGAACCTATCTTCCTCGGCTGCCTTGGCCTCCATATATAGTGTTCTTCCTGCCCCTAGTCATGTGACCTAAAGTGGTCACATGTGCAAAACCAAATCATAACAAACTAGTCATGTGACCAAAGTGATCACATGCTCAAAACCCATGACCTCATAGCGAGGTCATGGGCAAAAACTCATAAACCAATCATAATGCAATAAACAAGTCATATGACTTCAACTGAGTCATATGCGCGAAACCTATGACCTCATAACGAGGTCATGTGCGAAACATAAGTCATATGCGCAAGGCTTACCCGCAAGGCACACTCGCAAGGCATACTCGCCAGGCGCATGTCCCATGATTCTTTCTTGAGCCATGTGCAAAAGCATCACAAATCCCACACATAACAAATCATATAACCCAAATGGGTCATATGCGTAAAACAATAACATACCTGTGACTCATAACCATGTGTCATGTGAAAACCTTTCCATGCCAAGCCACATTCGTGACAGAGTCTTTACAAGTTGTCATCCTCCTAATATTATTATCTTAATTAATACTCTGGCTACTAATTATTATATAATATTATTATAATATTATAATTATCAAATATAATATCTACTAATAATTTTTCTCAAATAATTATATAGTAGGAAGTATAATCAAGTATTAGGTTATTATTTTTAAAACAGTATATTAATGATATAATACTAGCCTGTATGATAAATATCTGATATTTATAGTAGTCTATATATTCTTAGAGCTAATAATAAAATATTTTAATTCTGCTCTTCCTTTATCCATGATAGCCAGTTTCTCTAGCCGGCTAAATATAAAAGAATTGCAAGTTAGTTTATCCATTTACATGATATAGAATGTACTTTGTAGCTTCTTGAGGAGTTTTTCATTATTTATTAAGTTTAATTTTCACAGTAAATAAAATTCCCCCAAAAAAGCTCTCTCTGTGATCACTTAATTCATTAAATAGTTTTATATCAACTATTATTAGCTTTCTATAGACTTCCTCTTGGTGCAAAAATTGACAATATTTGGATAATAGTGAAACTTCTAGATTTTCTATTACCTGCTAATTTGTGAAATTATTATTAATAAATTGGGTTATGTACCCTTTGAATTGAAATATAGTACTGTTGCCTGTAACCGTACGAGGGCTTTTCAGACACTACAGTAGTGTACCGTACGAGTATCATACTAGTACAGGATAAGAATCCCTACAATAGATGGTATTTCAAACCGTTTCTCATCGCAGCACAAAACAAGCGGCCCACCAAGCACTGGTATCATTCTGGGAAGAGGAAGAAGAAGAATGAAACAAAGAAAGAGTAGGTTCACCTATTAGAGCGAGGCGGGGAGGGTGATACTAGTGTTGGTATCTTATAACCTTTTCCTCTCTTTCAAATTTCCTTGTCATCGTTGTAGCGACCCAATGGCGTATTTTTCCATCACGCTTTTGTCCATTACTCAATCCCGGTAATCCCTGCATCCGTAATATCTTGGCAATTTTTTGGAGGTCTGCATCCCCCCATCTTTCATCCCGCTCAGGAGTTCACTCTTGTGGAAAATAATAATAATAGTTTACCCCCCCTCCTCTCAACTTTCATGGTCAAATTTTTTTTTGTGTGGCAGTAGTGGAATCATCTCAATTTCCATACCATCAGTGATGATAACCCCGCGCGAGCGCTGTGGCCCTCACACTACGAGTAATCTAGTGCTTGTTCACAGGAATACGGCTTGAATCTACTAGTACAGTACAGTACTAGTAACTTACACCTATAAGTATTGCGAACGAAACAACAGCCACCTTACCATCATTCTTAGGACCTGCGCCCCTTCTCTCCACCACCACCACCATCACCACCACAGCTTTTCTTTCTTTCCTTCCAACCCCCGTTCCCACGCAAAGATTACTGGATGGAGAGAAACTATACCACTGCGGTTCGCGCTATAAACGCCGACTTGCGTAAGCGCCATCGCTCACAACTGGAGGTAGTAATCCCCTGTCCGCCTCCGAAAACTGACAAGAACTCAGAAGATTTTATCTCTCTCAATTTCGAAAGTGAAAATGGGGGTGAGGGAGATGATTGTGATGGTGATGACGATGATGAGAACGACGATTGTGATGATAAGGGGGACAGCGATGGGTACTCTCCCAGTGAGGATCTAAAAACTACGCAAACTAGCATGTCGGAGGAGGATAAGGGGAGTGAATCTGAGGGCGGGATTTCTGAAAAGACTAGGTCTAAGAGGAGGAGAAAGGATCTGTCTGGCAGGAAGGGTAGTGCGATCGGAGAGAGGGAAGCAGGGGAAGAGGCTATGAAAGCAGTTGCTAGGGGCGAGAAATTGGTCACCGCTACACAAGGCATTGGCAGGAGGGCGCCCGCCGTGACTATAGAGATTAAATCATCCTCTTCGTCCTCTTCTGGAGGTGCATATCAACATGAAGATGAGGACAAAGACTCTGCGACCCGCAAAGCCCAGCAGCAGCAACAAGAACTCATATCCACTGTTGTGTCATCCCCCCCCTACTTAGCTATTACCGCGACCAGTCCCTTATCCCTTCCCTCTTCAACGTTGACCCACACCACAGGCACAAACACAAACGCAACGTTCTCCCCAAACCCAAAACCCCAATTGATAACAAAGAAAACCACAGCTGAAATCCTTCAAGGGACTAAGGACCTCCCACAGAAGGTTCTGCGGAAGCTTGCGAAAAATCAGAAACGCAGGGAAAGGCGTCGTGTGGGACATGTCCAGTGGAAGGCCTCACTTGAGCAGCAGGGGCAGGCTTCGATAGATCACCCGCGCGGGGTTAGCTTTGGTAATGTTTCTTCTGATGTTAGTGAAGTAGGGGAAGAGGAGGGTAGCGAGAGAATGACCAACGATTCTGGAGATGAGAGGTTGGAAATTAACCTCGCGCTGGGGGAGGAAGGACAAGTTGGGGTTAAGGCGGAGGAGGAGGGCGGGGAGAATTATATTTCCCTTTCAGCCACTAAGACTCCAGTATTTACTACTAGCAGACATAGCACCCTTCCGCTAAACTCACCTGGCCTCTCTTCCTCTCCGTCCCCCTCTCCCACGCCCACCCCCGCCCTCGGTGGTGGTAGCGGCGGCAGCGGCGCCCAGGACGGACACCGCCAATCGCCAGTCCCAATTGATCGTGAGACCGTTGTGTTCCAACTGCGCTACCACGCTACCTCCACCCCGCCGCCGTTCATCCACGAGGAGTCTAGACCACTATTTACGTCTACAAAAGGTATTACAGCGGCCAGCTTTCGCCTTGACGCGAAGCGCTTTGAGGAAGTGGAAGATCCTAGTAAAGGAATTACTATGGAGACAATTGTATGCGATGTTTGTTTGAGCGTTGGGCACGTGGGGCGGACTTGTCGTTTGTTGAAGGTTTTTTCTTCCCATCACTGTGGGTGAGACTAATGGCGAAGGAAGAAGGGCTAACGATAAGGCGGGTGCTGCACAGTGCGAGTATTGCGGTGTTTGGGATAAGCATTTCTCCAACGCATGTCCGGAGCTTCCGGCGAGCGAGGTATCGCTTGGGGATTATGTATGCGAGCTTCCCCCCCCACCTAACCTAACTAACTGGCCCTTCTCACAGAACTGGCGTAAACTTCCCCAAACAACCCCCTCCCCACTAACAACCACAACTGCCACTAGAGCCTCACCCACGCCCCTCCGCCCCATAAATGCCAACTGCTATCACTGCTCGGGCACCGAGCATTTCGGCGACGATTGCCCCTTCCTCCCGGCGCTCTCGCACCCGGGCATATTCTCTCTCTCTGGTGTCAACGATGGCGACTATGCGTCACAGGAATGGCTCTGTGAGAAGCAGGACCTTCTTGCAGAGCTCGAGGACAAGGCGAAGAAGCCAGCCTACGGCCGCGCTGTAAGGCCCGGGGATTATGATGTAAGCGAAGAATTCGACCCTTTTGGGGAGTACAGAGCACTGGAGAGGGAGAAGGATAGGGATAAGAGGAGGGATACTGGTGGGGGTGGCAAAATGATGATGGGGAGGAGAAGAGCCGGGGAAAGGAGCCCGTCGCCGCCCCACCGCCGTGGGTATTCGGAGTTTGATCGGTATAGGGACCGAGATAGAGACCGAAACTGGGAGCGCAATAGGGGTAGAAACTGGTGTGATCGAAGATCTGAAAGTCCACCTGTTAGACGTTCCACCGGCGTTTACTATTCCTCCTCCTCCACTGCTTCTGCTTCCGGCCCGGGCGCTAGATACAGAGATCGAGGAGTGGACTACTCCCGCGTCCCCCCACCACCATCTATTCCGCCCCCCCGCGTACAATCACCGCCGCCACCACCACCACCGCCGCCCCCGCCTACTAGTGTCCGCCACCCCATACCTTTGAGGCCGCCGGCTACCCTGAATCAAGCTCGTCGTGGTAGTGCTGCGCGGGGATGTAATAGTACTGGCGTTGGAAGGGGTGGAGGTGGAAGAGGCTTACCGTTGTCGTCGAGGAAAAGAGGGGGGGGAGGAGGGAGGGGGCCAAGGTAATTTGCTTACTTCTACTTCTGTTCCTGCATCTACTCGAGTATTTCATACATAGATGAGAGACAACATTGAGGTAATGGTAAAAATAATAAAGTAATGAATGGATGCGATAGTAATCGAATCGGAGAGCTTGGAAAATGTGTCGGTATCATTCTAGTTTAGGTGTTTCCTCTTTTTTTCATTCTTCGGGCGAGGCATCGGGTTCATTTTTTTTTCTCCTGTAAGCATCTCTTCTCTATTCGCTGTCCTGTCTTACCCCCACTGGCCGGATGTGTAGCGTAACGGCTTGATCTTCCTGTGCTGCCATGTCCTATCATTCTCAGCTTACAATTTGTTGCTTCATTCATTTCACACGCTTTCGCTTTCTCATGGATGGCACGATTTCATTTTTTGCAAATAATCTGCGGTTTCGCCACGTAGCCTGTATTCATATCACTAGCCCCATTTCGTAATGGGAGTTCATAGCTAGGTTGGCTTTTCTACGACATGTAGTCTTCTAGAGTAGAGACTCCTCGCAACACCCTCGCTAGTTTCATTCTTGCTGTTTCTTTTGTTTCTCTAGTCTCGCTGTTTGGCTCTTCGGCGTCCTTATTTCCGTCGTCATCATCGTCGAAGTCTTCCTTCACAAATGCTCTTGCTACCGCTTCCTGTATGTTGTGGTTGTTAGAAACGACTTATGGAAGAGTTGGTGGGGTTAATCACGGCCTCTTCGAGTTCTTTTCTCTCTCCTGCGCTCAGTATCTCGCAGGCGGCCACCAAATCTTCGCCTCTCGCCATCATCAGGATCAAGTCCTCTGCTCTTGACACAATTGCTGGGTGAATCCCGTTGAGTGCCGCGCAACTGTGTGTGCGGTTAACCCGTTGATTCATATCATAGCTCAACCGGTGCAGGGCGACTAACATAGTTCCGAAGCTACTGGTGCTGCGGCCCATTTCCAACTTATACATATAAGTGATCTGATCCTCCGGCTCTACAGCTTTGTGATCCAAGAGGATTTTCATCTGGGCAAATTGGAGATGAGTATGATCGATGAGCATGCCGTTCTCAGCAATCTCTAGGGACAGAATCTTAGTAATCTCTTAAAGAGGTATGGCTAAATTACTTGCCATGATAATGAGTAGCGGATATAACTTTGGGCCGATCTTTGCCGCGGTTGAGGAGATTTTCAAATACACTACAGGCCAACCCCGCCCCGTCTATGTAAACTGTTAGAATGCTCTATGGCCGAAAAACAAGACCAACCACTCGAATCTGTGCCCTTCCCAAACTCGTCAATAATCAAAAGGCTTCGTCTCGTGGCGAGTCTCAGTGAGCTGGAAATTTGTTGGAGATCGATCATAAACGCGCTTTGAGTCTTCAAAGAAATTAGCACTCCACAACTGAGGGTATATCTAATACACTTCATGCCTTAGAGACACTTTCTCTCGTTTGTATCCGAGTCAATATCTTGTCCGTCAAGCCAATCACAGCACCCCTCGCGGGTACAAAACTGCCAATGTGGGCCATGTAAACAATTAGTGCGACCTGTTTCAGGTAAACACTCTTCCCCGAGTAATTAGGGCCAGTAAGGAGCATCATGCTAGGCGCATTTTCTCCATCTCCGTTAGAAATATCTGCTCTTGATCTTTCCGCGCTCCTCGGGCCTCCATTGTCGGGTGCTTCAACCACCACTTCTCCCAATGTCCCTTCTCCCCCAGCAACGAGTGTATCATTCTCAATATATGCAGAGACGCAAAGCTCTTGTAGTGGATGCCTATGTATCTTTCTTAGCCGGTCTCCATGTCGGTTGGTAAGGCTAGAATGAGACTAACCGGCCGCCTTTAATATTGATCACATTGTCTGTGACGATAACTGGACATGTAAATTTATACCTTTCCGCAGCTTCGGCCATAGCTAAGAGACTGCCACATTCAATTGTCAACAATATCTATAGGTTTGCTAATCCACCTTAACTCACCAATCAAGCTCTGCGCAGACCATCGCGCAACTGGCAAGTGCAACGTCATGTTGTAGCACTCGGCATTTCATAGCATGAACTAATTCTATTTCTCTGTCTTTGAATCATTAAATATCACTCGGGAAACAGGGAATTTGGTGCTGCTAAAGCTTACCACATACACGTCCATACAAATCTCCGAAGTAGTCATCCAGATCTCTCATTTGTGGGTTCTTATAGTACCAGTTGGTCTCGGTGCAGAACTGAAGGTCCCATCCCTCTTGGGCGTATGCAGGCCCTCCCGAGGGGTCGTTGAGCAGTCCATGTGTAGTGTTGCCAGTGCCCTGTGCAGGGATGACAATCAAGTATCCAATTTGTGGAAAGAATATAACGTTCAAGGATGTTGCAACGTCAAGCGGCATGTCTCTGGCAATGTCTCTGGCGACTGTGCCTAACATGTCTCCCAACCCATCGTACAATCGCTTCATTTCGTCTAGCTCTTCATCTATGTTTCGCTGTATTACCACACGATGCAAAGCAACTGATTCCTCAAAGTCAATGGTTTCGGTGATCATTTGCCCAACCTCTTGGAGTGAGGGTACGTTAAAGTTTTCAGCGACCTTAGGGGTATTAGTGAGGGCCTATGTGGGGTTTTTCAAGTGACCGACCTTCTTGATTATTTGCAATCCTCCGATTCCGCTCATCTCCTCTAAGCAGGTCTTGATCTTGAGAGCGTAAAAACAAAATTGTTGGAGAGCACTCCATTCCCCACTCCGACCTTCCCGGCCTGGACCCTTTCTTAAACCAGCGAGTATCTTTGGAATGTTCTTAATTTTTCGTATGCTTTTGCCAATTACCTGTGTCATGTGAGAGACATCGGGCCTTAAAAAAGCTGAAATAGAGTCCTGCCGTTCGTTGATAGCTTCTATAGAAAGCGACGGCCGTAGAAACCATTGCTTCAGCATAGTATGCCCTAAGGGGGAGCGGGTCAAGTTCATTATTCCTAAAGTCAAGTTAGGGCCAATCGGGAAATACCACCTTCTAGGTAGAGTTTAGGTACCAAAGAGTGAGAGCCCTTCTTTCCCCCGCCCATGGGGACCTTGCATTAGGAAATTTGGATGCGACTCGTCCTCAAATATCTGGAGAGCACACATTGTATCGGCATTGACAAACCTAAACCTATTAGTAGCCCTCCCACTCAAGGACGGGCTTAAGGGTCACAATTACTCACATGGTGTTATTCATGCTCCACATCTCGAGATTTGCCACAGAAACTACTCTATCAGTCAGCGATGTTGCTGCCTGTTTCCTCTGCAAATAGGTCAAAACAGCCCCAGAGCATCCAACGCTGATCCTGCTATCAACGTTGACCCAGCCGGCAAGCCGGAGTAAGTTTCCACGTCTTTTCTGGTCTGTGGTTATGTCGTGAATATCGCCCGGAGTCTGGAGAGTTAGAATTGGACCGTCTGCTTGCCCGATTTTTATGGAGATTAATTTGTTCCTTGCTGCCTCGTAGGAAAATTCTCCGGTCGGGCGAATGGAGATGTAATACGGGGTCGCATATTCATCTTCCCTTGGCATTAGTATCTCGTGGCCTAGGAATCACTAATGGATACCTTTATATTCGGGATTCAAAGTCTTCTCCAGAGTCTCATTAAACCGGGAAGCAATCAGCAAAACAGTGGGCTTGATCTGGAACTTAACTGCCCTCTTATCAGTCCGTAGTTGGGGTGTCAAGGGGTTGTAACTTACGAGCTTCCAAACATTCAGAGGTTGGTAGTTCGATATCCTCCATCAAGCTCAACCTCTGATCCACCATCGAGTAAAATGCGCAACCAATCTTCCGGCTCTTGTAATCAACTGCCATGATCACACCTTCTGAGTCTTCATCCTCGTCGCCGTCCTCGCCTTCATCGTCTATATCGGGCAGACTGTAATTATCACTCTCACTGCCCCTCTGGTGGTAGTAACTCTGACTGTCACTCTGACCCTGGTTCTGGTTCTGGTGGCGGTTCTGGTTCCTGGCTTGTGAGTAAGTTTGGCTCCGACTGTGCTGAAGGCTTCTATTCTGACCTTGGCGGGAGATACGAGAGGAGGGATGCGGATATTGTGCCATCTGTGGATATGGAGAGGGAGGGGACGATGCAGATGAAGAGGAGCTAGGTAGGCCCTCGCGGGGATATGGTGCTGAAGCAAATGCTACTGAACGGCGAGGTGCTCGTGGCATGGCTTATGATTGTGTGGGCAAAGATGATCCATGTGTCCATGGTTTAGGGGGTTATGAATGGACGTACATGGGTGCTGATGTTTTCCTAGTGGCTAAGTACTCGTGGGAACATATGGTGCTTATCGTGGTAGTTCAGTGGATTCACTTTGGGATATCGTAACTAATCCCCTTTCAGAGCAATTAGATCACCAAATGCAATAGATGGCTAACTTAGACATTGTACTTCTCAAGGGAAGTAGGATACTGCTGGGTCAAAGAAGGGGTATCAGATGTATACACTGTATCAGCAGCTTCCCACCCCCATGGGCCCACTACAAACCCATAGTCCGGGTTGACACTTTTGCTGGCCCAAATACTATACTTGTATTCCCTTCAGCTCACTATTGCCCGGCCTTGATGGGTGAGGGGGGTCCCACGCAAAGCTCCCCAAAGTATTGCTTAGAAGAATGGGTAAATAGTCTCGAGCGTTGGCAAAGAGCCTGGCTACGATATTGGGTGGGTTTCGTCTCGGCCTATCACTAGACGAGCAAGTGTTAGTGTATCGCACAGATTGTCACTCGTTCTTCAATCTTCTCGCCTCTAGCGTCCTCAGTGGACCCTTCCCCTTTCCCCAATAGCATGGGCACGGATATTTTATGGTTGGTAGAAGATATTCTGATAAGTTATCTGGAAAAATTCAATAAACACCAAGCGGGCAGTCAGGCGCCCTCACTGGACAGCCACAGTAAATCACAGCTAGAGGCTGATTGCAGCCATTGTGCCTTGGCTTTACCATCGTGGTTCCATGTGTCTTTGCTCCGTCTAGGGTTATTATCTGGGATTATACAAAAATCTCACAACGCCTCGCGGGTTTCTCCTTCTTGGAATGCCTCCACCTCGTGCCTTCATGATATTTCACCGTCTCGGGGGGGGATAAAAAAACGGTAAACGAGGAAAAGCACCGCTCCTTACCTTCTCCAATTTCCCTAGAGGGAGAGAGGGAAACTGCTAGCTCTAGAAGCACAGCATCATACTCGTACAGCTGTTAACATTATATGGCAGTTTTGTCTTGGTGGTATTGGTAAGTTAGATAGTATCATAAATATTCTTCTCAACAAGCATGTATGATAGGCACAAACCGGTCGAAGCTAGGGCACAGGGCAGTCATGACGGGTGTGGCCTCCCTCCCCCAAAACCTTAGTTTTTCGGCGATTATCTCCTCACCAGTCAACGGGCAGTCCCGCCTTTTCAGCCGCATACCCATATCATACCGGTACTTGAGTGCTGCGCTCCAATGCTCGAGCATGATACATATCTTTTATGCGGCGCAACGCAACCCTGTCTGAGTGCGGAAGGCCACACGTTGACAACTAACAACCGTGCGATATCGTCTCATCGCATCTCCGCATCGCATCTCCACCTGTTTGTTATACTCCTGAGAGAAAACTATCTATTTGACCAAGTTGGAACTAAGATCGACTCGGGAGCTCATCAGCTCGTCAGCTCATCTATTCTTTCACCAGTATTCAACTTTGAAGATCCTGGCTTTACAAACGGTTTAAGTTTTCAGCTTACGACCACGATTAGCTTGCTTGCCTTCCCTTTCTCTGCACTCTTTCCAGGGAGCTGTGATGATGGTTGTCGACGAACTTGACCCCCCGCCAAAGTTTGATACTTTGGCGTTGCTGTTCTCGCATTATACTGTCGTTACTGAACTTGCAAAGATGATTACTACCGGCGACTGTATGTGGTTTCTTGTTTGTTTGTCTTTTGTTCTACTTGTCCGACTTTCTCGGTAATGTCGGTTAGGCGGAAGAGGAGGGATCGAGCTGACAAACAACATAGTGATACAGCTATCGCGCACATCGAGTACCATCCGCGAAACTCTGCTCCAGTCGCGGGCACACTGGGAACGTCTGGTTAGCCTAACGAGTCTGGATTGTTCCGAGAGAGACCACATAAAGGGCGAGAAAATCAAGGGTTGCAGGATCTGTTCTATGCCTGTCTGCGAAGTGGGTTTTTCCCCTCATAATAACAACTCACAACTCGCCGTTATTACATAAGCTGACACAGCGAATACAGACATGCATAGTCCGCGCCGACTTCTTTGGCCAGAACGGCACTTACTCCAACCGCATTCGTACATTCTGCGACACCTGTTGGTCTGCCACAGACTTCTCCGACACGGACCTGACCCCGCAAGATCTCGTCAACTACGCCGCGCCAGTGCTGTGCGAGTGTGTTGCCAAGGACGGATGGTTATGCTCTTCCTGCCGAGCCATCGAGCGCTCCGAGCTAGTCTACAACAAACGGGTATGCGCCACCGACGGTTGCGATAACCCGCATAATTCGTCCGAGAAGCATCGTGTGTGCACGTGGTGTCAGCACCCGCTACCTGCCGCCTGGAGGCCAACGGGAGAGCCGAATGTTCTGGGCAGACGTATATTTAACGAGGATGGGACAGTTAGGGTAGATTCTGCGGATGATAGCCTGGAAGATGGTGGCTCCGCGTCTCCCATGGAGGATAGAGGGTTGAGGAGAGCGAAGAGTACGGATAAGATTGCTGGGTGGGATCAAGAGGATGAGGACTCGAAGGCTAGGTATAAAGAGGCGTGGTTGAAGAAGGGAGCTAGGGAGCGGGAAAGGGATAGGGAGCATCAGAGTGAGAGTAGTGGTTCCAGTCAGCGGGAAGGAAGAAAGGCATTTGTCATCGCTAGTGAAGTTGGGGATGATGATGGTGCTGGCCAAAAAGAAGAACAGGGATCTTCAGATGATGAGCCTTCGGAGGGAATGGGAAATCCGCCGCCTTATAGCGGGTCCTAGAGCTCGGGGGCTGTTTCCCGGATCTGTATCGTAGCTTGTCCGCTGATATCGGAATGGCTAATGGATTTTGTTTTAGTGAAAATTGGTTTGCGGGCGATTTTTTTTTGATCTTTGGTTCTATGTGCAATATGGCTGGGAAAATCTTCTGGGTGGTATGCAGGTATCGCATATGCATACCTTAGTAGACATGACTGGTGTCATAGTTTGTCACTCGACTAAACGTTTTGGCTAGATCTTCCTTGGACAGTTAGTTCGGAATACGCACTATGGATCTATCTTACACTACGAGTACTTGGGGCGTGGGCTGCTCGGGGAGGCTGGGGGGTAGGTGGATATGTAACCTGCTCAAATGCTTGAGGACGTTGATCTTAGTGATGGTATCTCCACGTAATACCCTCCCAAGAGGAATGCCGAGCGACAACCCAATCGTGAGTGTCCGATAAAGTCCCGAAAGTGCCCGTCTCAGAACCTGTGGCTAAGTGCTGTTCTAAGAATATGCGGTGGCGCACCTACAGTGCGTTGCCTCATGGCTTTCCCCACATGCTACCTTATCAGCTCCGCTAATCCGCCAATCTTCCTCCGACTCCCTCTCCATCGTTTCCTCCCTCCATTCTCCCCTCTGGGCCTCCAGTCAATCCATCTCATGACATTATCCGAAACTCATCTCACCAGCTATCCTCAAGATGAGAACCTTTGAAGTACTTCTACCCCGCACCGTTCTCCCTCAGGCCCTCCCAGATTCTGCCGGTGGTCTTCAGCCCCTCACGAGCCCGGATCACCTCCGTATAAAGGAGTACAACCGGCCACTGACCGCCACGTTCTTTGCCCTTGGGACAATCCTCTGCATTGTCTTGGCTCTCTCGCTGATATTCTGCTGCGCAGCGAGACTAGCCGGACAAATTCACGGGCGCCGCAGGGTGCGTGTGCGTCAGAGGCAGAGACTCACCTCGGGCAGGAGGAGAGTGATGCGGACACTGGAGGTGCTGAGGAGGGGAGAGGGGCTGAAGAAGCAGACTGGGATTAGGGCCGGAATAGCGGTGGTAGTGGCTGAGGAGGGGGAGAGGAAAGAGGGTAAGGGGGACAATGTTGGTGATAGCGGTGGTTGTGGTGATGGGGAGGGGTCAGGGAAGGATTTGGAGAAAGGAGGGGGAAAAGGAGGGGGAGGGGGAGGGTGGAGTGAGTGGGATGCTGGTAGGGATGAGGAATTACCAGAGTATGATCCAGTCGGATTCAACGAAAAGGGAGAAATGATCGATGCTCCGTGCCCCGCCTATCTCCCAAGGCTTAAGTCCGTGGGCAATGGGTCTGATGATGGGCGTGGGGGTATGTTGATGAAGGAGAAGACCCCGTGGAAGTGGTGTAGGAGTAGGAGGGGATAGGAGGGGGGGGGGGTCAGGATATGTAGGTTATGGGTGGCGATGATGATAGGGTCTTAGGGAAGGGGAGAGGAGAGTATTTTTTGAATTTTAAGCCCGTTTTGGTGCGCTAGCTTTTTTGTAGGGGTTTCCAAACTGCGTTTTGTTAGGTGTGCCAAACCCCGGTTTCTAGAATATGCGTTTCCAGACACCTTAAGGAACTACAATATCATAATATTAGGATATTATGAGGTGAAGGAAAAAGGAGTATGATAGTCATTGTACTTGGGCTTATACCCTGAAGGAGGAGAGGAGAAAATAATAATATATTGTTATAGGGCATGATGATATGATACCGGTAATATTATCATCATAAAAGGAATCCAATAATATCTTAAGCTCCATGTCACTGTCTTCTCAAACTGTGAATTATATGACTTTCAAATAACACTGCCAAACGCTACGGACCTTACGAAAGTTGGCGTGCCAAACAAGCCCTTAGTCTTGGTAGTGAGGTTAAAGGCCGACCACCACGATATTCAGATCAGTTTATATCAGTTATCGGTGCAAGTCTTTTTAAAACGTGGCGGGAGTTACCGCACTTCATGTGCTGATAGAACGTGAGGATCTGTTGCAGGTACGGTAGACCGATCCCCACAGCGATCCAGGCGCATAGCATAGCACATGTGTTGATACTGGTATTCGAGTATGGTACTCGGGGGGCGTGCGAAAGTGATTGGTGGCAGTGGGCTAGTATGAACGACCCCAGGCATCGGCAATAGAGCTGCAATAATAGACAATGAGGGCTGGTTTCTCTCGGGAACGGTGCCATATAATCATTCCCCCTGAAATATACTTGAGGCATCCCTTCAAGTTTACTGAAGTTGTTGGTGACGAAGCTTAATCGGAGCCAACTGGGATACTTCCATCAGTTTGCGGTGACGCCAAGATATAAGTTACTAATCACCTCCATCCCCCCCCACTGTGTCCCACACCGGTACTGTTACCGCAAACCCTTATTCCACTATTTCGGCGAGCTCTGTGATCTTCGCATTCGGAGTTCGAAGAGGGGTTACAAGTAGCGTTTCCCTGACATGATAAGATCAGCGGCTGCTACTGGACGGGTTGGACCCCATTAACCGGTATTCGCAATTCTCTTAGCCTGTTAAAATAAACCTATCGTGGGCTGACGGGCTGGTTTCCACTGATAAACTGATGCCGGTAGTCTACGAGTAGTGGATCATAGTGTAAGGGTTTTCACGGCACCGGTATCATAGTAGTATGATACTGCACCGTACTGTACATTGGGGTGTGAATGCCGAGGTCACCCTCGTAGTACTGTACGATACATGTTTGAGCTTATGATATCGGTTGCTCGCTTCCGCAACCTTACTCGGCATTACTCTGCTCTTCCTCCTTCCCTACCTTGAACCCTTCTTCCCCACCATTGCTAGAACCTACGCACACGCGCACGATACAGTCGGGATGTCTCAAGCATACAACCACTTCAACGTAACGTTTCCAGCGCCTTACGTAGCTCACGTAGAAATAAACCGACCTGAGAAGCTCAATGCATTCTACCAAGAGTACCTACCTGCATCCTTACCCCCCTCCACCAGTATTCCACCCCCAGGACTAAGTATCATGCAGAATGTGGCTGGAATACGCCAAAGTGTTCAACACACTCTCGCACTCCCCGGACGTGCGTTCCATAATCCTCTCGGGCGCGGGGTCAACTTTTACTACAGGCCTGGACATCCAAAAAACAAATCTCGCCTTTCCCGGTAGCGACGGTGCGCGCAAAGCTTGGGGGATTAGGCGCAGCGTGGTCGAACTCCAAGAATGCGTTTCTGCGTCGGAGAAGTGTGAAAAACGTTCCTTACCCTCCTCACCCTGCTCCTTGGGAGAGCCAAAGCTAACCCCCAGGCAAAATCCTAGCCGTAATTTGTGTCCTCCACGGCTTCTGCCTGGGCCTCGCTATCGACATAGCCTGCGCAACGGACATCCGCATCTCAAGCGCGGACGCCAAACTAGCCGTGAAAGAGGTGGATATAGGGCTAGCCGCGGACGTCGGCACACTGTCTCGCCTGCCAAAGGTCGTCGGGTCCCTCTCCTGGGTGAAAGACGTTGCCTTCTCTGCGCGCATGTTCAACCCGCAGGAGGCGCTCCGCGTGGGCTTTGTCAGCGCCGTCGAGAGTGATAAGGCTGCTGCTGTTAACAAAGCGATCGAGATGGCAAGCCTGATTGCTGCTAAAAGCCCTGTTGCTGTGCAGGGGACCAAGGCGATTGTGAACTGGAGTGTTGATCGTACGGTTGCGGATGGACTAGCCTACACGCAGGCATGGAATGCGGCCGCTTTGCAGACGGAGGATGTCGGCGAGGCGGTTGGGGGTACGCTGGGGAAAAGGAAGACGAGGTTCGAGAAGTTGTAGATTGGAATACGTGTGTGTGCATGGGGGGGGGGCTGGATAGAGGTAAAGGTGTTGTCTGAAAATGGGTTGTGATCCTGTGTATTCTAGTAGCCTAGCAAACCACGATATTGGGTTCTCCAAGTGTCTGGACCGCTCTACTCGTACCAGATTCAGCGAGCGACGGATCCAGAAATGCACCTCTCATACTGTCTCAGAATACTGTTCGAGTACATTTCTTTTCGGTCACCTCCCCCACTATCGCTACTTTCTATGCCCGAACATCGCCCTGATACTTAGACCCATTTGCCATTCCCTATTCTATATCCCCATCACTTTCCTGCATTTGGAGACCAACTTTCTTTGGCGGTCATACCTCCCATCCAACTTGGACTATGTGGTAATTCTGGATTGAAGTTGTACTTCTTGCTTGATTGATGCTCTACCGGGGGGCTATCAGGCCATTCTTATGCTACTCAAGAGTGCACTACAACTGCCTATGACATATACCTAGCATGCAAGAAAAAAGAAAAACAAGAATAAGAATACAACATAGCCAAGTGGTAAAGAGGAAGGAAACGTGAGCAAGATAACCAAACTAGTACTATAATAGAGTTTCCAAGGAAACTCGGTAGTAGTCAACTGTGTAATAAGCTCCATTGCATAATGAACCTATATTAAAATATTCTGTGGTAGTGAATGACAAAACCAATATATATTTGAAAGTCATATTATAACTGTTAGGTGGAGACAACCTGTAAAGATACAGAGTTGTCTAGGCTAACTAAGATTCGTTTCTGTAGACGGAGATTGTCTAGGAAGGCTTAAAATATATATACTTGTTTCTTTTATAACTACTAAGAATAAGGTGAAGTAGGTAAAGTAGAATAGAATGGTAAAGACAATGTTATATTTTTAAGGTCTCTTCTCTATTGCTTTATGATGTCTAAAAGCTTGTAAGGCACTTTGATATTTATATTGCGCATCAGAGTATTCGTGGACTACATTTATCTATTATATAAAATATGTACCTCTCTGGTTGTAACTTACAACGTCAGGTATTCTTCAAAGGTGTGAACACCTGGAGACCCTGAAAATCACCACACCCTCTTTGCTAATTACGATATTGCTAACTTGGAACTATACTATTACCGATAGTAATTATCTGATCTTTGGAGTCATTAGACTTATGGCATAGTTTACAAGTTGAACTGAGTTGGCCTCAATTGTCTCCCTTATCGACAAAATGATCAGTTTCATCTGTGGGTTGTATTTGTAGAGATAGTCTCAATTTCAACCTTCCATGGTCGCCTGACTTTTATCTTCCATAACTCCGGATCCAATTGACAGATATCTTCTGGATTATTTCCAACTAATTTGCAGGAAGCTATTCTACCGGATTGCTAGATAATACCTTAGTTGGCAATCCTAGATTGCTCTAGATAATAGGGTTTCAATCGCCATTCTAGTTTTGGAAATTATTTCTACAACTACAATGCACTCCAGGGCAGAGTTGTAACACTCTGTATACTCTACTGGCTTCTGTAGTAGTGTTTCTTAGAGTTCTAGACTGTTTTAGTTATTATAGAGTGGGTGTGAATGTATTGGTCTCTTGTAGAGATCCTTTAACATTTGATATCATATCTTTATGTGAAAATATCCTATTACTTGCCGCCCATACAAAGGTCTCATATCTTTGAAGCCTAGTAACTCTCTGAATAGTTGACAGATTCACTCTGTTCCACTTTTCAGACTTAACTGAAGGTCTCCTCTCATATTCCTTCAGAACAGGATCCAGTCAGACAGACCACAGCAATATATATGGTGTTATTCTTACACCTTAAACTCTGTAGACTTATAGTCACAGGACGCAAGTGAGATAAGTACATGTGATGATATGTGTATTAGGTGGAGACAATCTGATAGACTTCAGAATTGTCTAGGCCAATCAAAATTCATTTCTGTAGATGGAAATTGTCTAGAAAGGCTCAGGTTTACTCTTTTCATTTATGACTACTAAGAGCGAAGTAAATTTAGTAAAGTAAAATAGAATTGTAAGAACAATATTATATTGTCAAGGTCTCTTCTCCATTGCTTGATGATGTCTAAAGCTTGGAAGGCACTTCGATATTTATATTCCATATCTGAGTATTCGTGGACTACATATATTTATCATACCACTATGTACCTTTCTGATTATAACTTACAACGTCAGATATTCTTGAAAGGTGCAAACTCCTGGAGACCCTAAAAACCACCACACCCTTTTTGCTAGTTATGATATAACTAACTTGGAACTATACTGTTCCCAATAGTAGTTAGCAGATCTTTAGAGTCTTTAGACTTGTGGCCTAGTTCTCAAGTTGAACTGAGTTGGCTCCTATTATCTTCTTTATTATGCAATGATCAGTTTCATATGCGGGTTGTATCTACAAAGGTAGTCGTAATCGCAAACCTTTTTTGATCACCTGACTTTAAACCTCCATAACTCCTTACTCAATCAATAAATGTCTTTTGGAAGATTTCCTACTAATTCGCAGAAAGCTATTCTACCGAATTGACAATTATTCCCTCGGTTGGCCTGTTAGGCAGAGACAACCCGATAGACTTCAGAGTTGTCTAGGCCGATCGAGATTCGTTTTTATAGACGGAGATTGTCTAGGAAGGCTCGGACTTCACTCGTTTCGTTTATGACTACTAAGAGCGAAGTAAAGTAAAGTAAAGTAAAGTAAAATCGTAAAAACAATATTATATTGTTAAGGTCTCTTCTCCGTTGCTTGATGATGTCTAAAGCTTGGGAGGCACTTCGATATTTATATTCCGCGTCTGAGTGTTCGCGGACTACATCTAACTAACATACAACCATGTACCTTTTTCCAATATAACTCACAACGTCGGGTTTTCTTCCAAGGTGCGAACACCTGGAGACCCTGAAAATCATCACACCCTCTTTGATAATTATAATATGACTATTTGGAAGTCATACTGTTTCCAATAGTAATTATCCGATGGTGAGAGTCTTTTTTAGACAAATGGCCCAATTCTCAAGTCGAACTGTGTTGGCTCCAATCGTCTCCCTTGTCGATGAAATGATCAGTTTCATCTGCGGGTTGCATCTGCGAAGATAGTTGTTATTACCGACTTTCTTGGTCATCTAACTTCAACTCTTCATAACTCCATACCCAACCAATAAATTTTTTCTGGAGGACTTCCTACTTTCCTGCAGGAAGCCTTTCCATAGGGTTGGTAGATAATCCCTCGGTCGGTAACCCTTGGTTACCGTGGGTAACAGGATTCTGGTTACTGTCACCGGTTTGGGAGTCACCCCCTCGGTTGTAGTATATACCGAAACCTAGCTGTAACACTCCTCGAACTCCATTGGGTTCGATGGTAGTATTCTTAGGAGTTCCAGACTCTTCTGGTTATCGTAGGGTGGATGTGAATGTATTGGTCTTTCATTAAGATCCTTTACTATTCATTATCATCTCTTTGCGCGAAAACGTCCCGTTACTTGCGGCCTATGCCAAAGATATCTCGTTCTTGAAGCCTAGTAACTTTCTGGGTAGTTGACGGATTCACTCCGTTATACTTCCCAGACCTAGCCGAAGGTCCCCTCTTATATATCCTGCGAACAGGATCCGGTCGGACGGACGGCGGCGACGTATACGGTGTTATTTTAACACCTTCGATTCTGTGGTATAATACTCACAGGACGCAACTTAGATCGATATGTATGATGATGCGCGGGCCCCGTAAGGGGGCCGGAGGCGGGTGTTGGAGACCTGAGATTTCGATTTCGGGAGAGGTTACCCTACCTAGGGTGGTTCCTAGGTATCGGATCTCGGTATTCCTAACATGGCCACCCTTGGTTGCTTTGGGTAACAGGATTTTAATCACTGTTGTAGTATGGGAAGTTGTCTTTGTAACTACAACTTGTTCTGAAACCTAGTTGCAACACTCCATGAAGTCTAATAACTTCTATAGTAGTGTTTTTCAGAGTTCTAGACTCTTTTAGATATTGTAGGGTGAGTGTCAATGTATATTGGTCTCTTGCTAAGATTCTTTACCATTCAATACCATCTCTTTGTATGGAAACATCCCGTTACCTATGGCACATACCAACAGTATCACATCTTTGAAGCCTAGTAATATTTTGAGTAGTTGACGTATTTACTCTGTTCCACTTCTCAGACCTAGCTGAAGGTCCCCTTCATATATCCTGCGAACAAGATCCGGTCGGACCGATGGCCACAATGTATATAGTGTTATTCTAACACCTTTCATTCTGTAGTATTATAGTCACAGGATCCAACAAAGATTGAGATGTATGATGATGTGCAGGCCCTGTAAGGGGGCCAGAGGGGGGTATTGGAGACCAGAGATTCTGATTTCAGGTAAGGTTATCCTACTTAGAGTGACTTCTGGGTATCGGATCTTGGTATTCCTAACAGTGCAGGCTTTATAAGGGGGCCTGAGGGGGGCGTTGGAGACTAGGGATTCTGATTCTGAGTGGGGTTAACCTACTTAAAGTAGTTCCTAGTTATCAGATTCTGGTATTCCTAACAACAACACTCATACTCTTCCAATATGCAGAGGAAAAGCTATACAGAAAATGACAGCCTCACGAAAGCCTATACTAACTAAAACCTGAGTATCAGCCATTTGTATTGTGTTGAGAAAAATGTGTTGCAACCCAAGTAACCCACCCAAAAAGTTTTGAGATATTAGTTATTTTGTATTTGTAATATATTTGAACTAATACTACTCCAACATAAAAAAAAACTTTAATAATATGCATCAATCTTTAAAATATGTGGAAGGTAAATTATAACTACTAATATCAAACACCTCATGATGGGCAAAAAAAAATTATGTAAGCAAAATATTGTTACATAACAAAAAGGTTATATTCATGGAATTTTTCAAAAAAAGAAAAATATGCAACAGTTTTGAACTGAAATAGCTTCACAATCAATTGACATTACACAAATATTTATTTTAAATAAGATACACCAGAATGTAAAGTTATTTTAGATGGTAAAAAGTAAATTTAAGGATTTTGAGATTTTCGACTATAAAATAAGCTACAG